GCCATGGTGCCTCCTTGTGTACAGATGGCTTAGTATGCAGTGTGCTGTATCCACACTCTCCCTAATGGGTAATCATGCCTCTGTTCTTTGCTGTACGCGACAAAGAAAATGCATGTACTGTATCTTCTTGTCAAACTGTTATATTCCCTCAGTACCTCCGCAAGTAGTGACAACACATGTACCGGTAACAGTTTGTTTTGAACAAAATTCGGGTTTCTACTATGGGCATAGCTTAGCACCATATTCATCTCACTTGCTCTTTGAAGCTAAAGAACAAAATGTGATAAGAGGATAGTACAGGGCTGCCTCACTTATCACAAAGGTTACGGGCATGAAACTTGTTGCGAATAGCGAAGCAATTTCTCCCATAAGAAATAATGTAAATAGGGGGGATACGGGCATCTCGGTGGTCCCGGCCGTCAGATTTTAACACTTGTTTTACTCGATGCATATAGAACATAAAATAAATAAAGAAACAAGGGCATAATATCAAGTAAACATCAATAACAAAACACTTTGAGTATACTTTTACATGCTTGAGTGTTTGAATGTTTATGTGCGTAGGTGTGTGAGGTAAGTTTTAAATGTAAACTGTTACTTTACCTCTGATGTGCTGTGTTGCTTGCTTGCTGGAGTTGGCATTAGGAGAGAGGGTGAAGGTTTACTGGGATGAGAGGAGGCTGGGGTCATCAGCCACCTCACTCTCCTCACTGCCAGGGTCGTCAGCCACCTCACTCTCATCATCACAGCCAGGGTCATCAGCCACCTCACTCATTATCGCTGTCAATTTGCACTGAAAGCTGTTGTTCTCCACTGCTTTCTGTTGAATCATGCGTTGCGATAAAGGTGTTTTAAGGCGCTGGGTCTGGTCGTCAATCCACGTGCTCAACGTCCGCTCCATACTCTCCATCTCAACATCACGGAACCTCGTCACCTTTGTAGCCGTCAGTGGTGTTGCAGACTTGGCCATCTCCTTGATCTTTTTGGCGCTTTTAACTATAGAATGCACCGTAAATGGGGCCAAGCCGTGCACGCGCCCAATCACAGACGTTCCTTCTCTTTTTATGATATCCAAATTCACGTCCAACGTAACTGCCATACGTGATCTTTTAGCAACATTGCTGGGAGTTTTAGTAGCTGGTCGCTTAGGCATTGCGAGATCACACAAAACACACGCCAGCACGTGTGAGACTGAGGCGAGCAGAAGCGTGTGGCGTAGGAATACGTACACACGCTGTCCTATGCTACGGTTGAGGAGCGGTGCTCAAAATTTTTGCTCGTAAGAATTTGCAAATAAACGGGGCAACCATTGCGAATAGTGGAAATGGGTAACAATAAATTGATTGCGGATAAACGGGGTTACGAATACCGAGGCTATGAATAATGGGGTTTGCCTGTAGAGCAATTGCTATGCTTATGAATGTGCAAAGGTTTGTAATGGTGTGTCATGTTCCAAATTCAGGTTGTCAACTCTCAGATTAATATCATTTATCAATACAGTAGCCTTTAATTTTGTGTTTTCTGTTTTATAAATTAGAAACTCAGGTATGATTGTCTGTTACATTGTTAGTTTTTGTAAAATGGTCACATTTGGAGGTACAATTCAGTAATTTTTATTTTTAGTGTTCACTCAATAATTTTGAAATCATTTGTGCTGTTGGAATAAAACTAGGTATCCTTATACTAACCACCCTTTCCATTTTGTAATGTATATACCCTGCTGTATGTCTTGTACTGAATTTAGAATTAAATATAAAAGTCCAGTCATATTTCAAGGTAGCTTAATTGTCAAGCTTGTGTGTTTCAGTACTTTGATACTGATGATCAATGGATTTGAGATACTTGCAAGAAGTTTAGAAAGTTGATCATGTATCAAATTCAGAATGGCATCTTTCATGACAGGGCACTACTCATGGCTACTTATTTTTTGTAAATAGGGGGTCCCTGAGTTATTAACACTCGCTGGTACGAACGGGGTTAAACTTGAAATTTACAGTTCAGTGGTCCCTCAGTTAACGAACACAATTCGTTCCACAGAGTCGTTCGTTAACCAAAATTTTCGTTAACCGAATCCATTGTTTCAATTGGATATTGGGTAATTGGTTGCAGCTCACCGAAAATTACATACAAACTAAAAATAAATGCAGTAAAGTACACTTACTTTGAGGTGTGCATGTAGAAGGCTCCTGGTTGATGATGATGATGATGGGAATTAGAATGGGGGTGGAGGAGAAGGGAGAAGAGAAGGCGTTGTGGTGGAAGAGAAGTCACCCCATGCTGCCATTTCACCCATAAAATTTTAGTTCACTTGGTGTAATTCAAGATTATTTTCTTTAAATCAACACTGCACTGCATTATATATTATCAATATGTAAAATATATTTCAAAATGACCACTAATTTGACTGGAAACAGAAAAAAAGCATTTATGTTGAAGAGTCTCAAACAAGATGTTCCTTCCTCTGAACTGGTAAACAAACTGACGCCAAGCTTGGTGTGTTGAGTGGCTGTTTGGCGCGCGAAAAACTAGTTTCCTGTACTTCAATTATGTTCAATAATTGTTAAAATGATTAAAAAATTTAATATAAAACTTTTAAAATTCTTGAATAGTACAACCTTTTTGATATCTACTAAAATGGTAAGGAATTTAAGCCCTAAAACCGATTACTGTATTGGCGGACTAATACTACAGCTGGTGGGCAGCCAAATGCAGGTGAAAACATGTTGGGAAAAATTTTTAAGGAATTCGTTAACCGAGGGTTTGCTCGTTAACCGAAGTGAAGAATCTTATGGAAGGTAATTCGTAAACCAAAATTTCGTTAACCGAGGTGCTTGTTAACCGAGGGATCACTGTATTGATAATATACAGTGCAGAAACTATTATGAAACCTTAAGAAGGCATTAGAACCAATGCACTCTGTAAAGAATATTGCATGTCATCATCGACTGCCTCTACAATCAGCTGTTGATATGTAAACAAAGCTGTCGGGAATACGACATACACACCTAAAAGTAAGTTAAAATATAGTATACTATTTTTTTTTTTTTTTAATTATACAGCATACTGTACAGTACAGTATTTAGTTTATATTATGTTTTGTTAATTCTATTACTGGTATACAGTACTTTGTATGTACTGCTTCTGTGAGTTGGAACTAATTACCCAATATCCCATTGAAATAATAGATTCGGTTAACGAACGACTCTGTGGAACCAATTGTGTTCGTTAATCAAGGGACCATTGTATAGTACACCCTCGCTATTCGCAGGAGTTAGGTTCCAAGGAATGGCATGAATTGGCAAAACTGCGAATAGCAACTTATACTACTTTAGTGCACTACTGTATACTTATACTGTGTATGAGAAACTTAAGTCACCAATACTACTCTCCTTTGTATGTGGAAGTTTGGAGCTTGATGGAGTGTACTGTACAGTAGGATGAAATCTGGTTACTGAAGCATAGAGAGATCATCAGGATCACTGATTGAAGAGGGCGATGCGATGGTGGTTGGTGGAGAGGCAGGTGGTGGGGTGGTGCGTTGCGGAGAGGTGGGTGGTGGAGCAGCGGCAGCAGCTGACCGAGGGTGAGGGAGACGAATCAGCTGGGCTGGTTCCTTCTTGAAAAACATCATGATTGGTAGTTGTTTCCTCTTGCCTTTGAGGTCTCTTAACTGTTTCATTCCACTAGCATCACTAACTCTGACATTATGCAGTCTTTTAGGATCCATTTCACACAGAAAAACTAAAGTTTTGAGTACAACATGAGATGCTGTGTCGCAAGCACTGCGGGAGAGGTAACCTAGCCACCAACTGCTTACCTGCGAATAACAAGGGCTTACTATATATACTGTACTTTTTTTTTATGGGGATTAGCCCACCCGGGCACAGGTCACTGACCCACATCAGGACCTGGTTGGCAAAAATAATAATATTAATAATACATAAAAATAAGTACAAATTATAATAAAAAAAAAAATAATAATAAAGAACCATAAATAAATACAAAAATGAAAAAAAAAAGATCAAGAGTGAGAAATAATTTATGTATGTTGTCTTGCCAAAGCAAGAGAAACAATTGAAACCCTGGAATTAGGTGTAAATGAGGCAGAAAGTCAGATCAGCAACCTGGGACTTGGTCACAATTTTTTTGATGCCATATGGCAGCAGGGTCTACCATTAGACAACACATTATACTTCCAATATCTTCCCAGGCTGTAGTACAGTGCCTGCCTGTTTGATAGCTGCCTATTACCTACAACCTATTTGTATTATTGTTATCTACTGTATCTTTCTTTTAAATGCCAGCAACCATATTTTTTTATATTTCCGTGTGGAAATTTTGCTAAACCCAACATCATTTTGTAATTTACAAGTATGACCACTTTAGATAGTGGATGAAGCTTTTAATGCATTACGTGTCATGCTACTTTAACAGTCTGGGTCACCCTTAAGGACCACATACAAACAGTTATTTTGTACACTCACTTTGTAACTCAAACCACTTGAGGGACAGGACTGTAATGTTTTGAACTCATGTCACATTTTAAGGTAACATGTTGCTGTTACACTTTTACCACTGTACTCTTGTAAGATATCTGCAAGACATGCTTCATAGAATATGCATTTTCTGAAAGATGTAGTTTTCTAGATGTAAGGTCACATCAATAGAAGTTTTGATGGTGGTATATACCGGTATGTATATTATACACATTTGTTATACAGTGGATTGTGTTTCTATCATGTATGTTTATAAGGTTTATGTGAGATATACAGTAAAGGTCAACTGTAATTTCATCTGGTTATGATTGTTTTGTGTGAGTGTTATAATGGAATTACAATTTAATGAAGTGAAATGCGTAGACTTCAATATTTGAATTACAATTAGTCAGTGGCGTCATTACACATTTTGATATAATTTACCAGAATATTTGCATTGGATGGTTTGCTCTATTCTTTATATGAATAGTTTAAAAGCAACCAATTCTCCCCCTGGCTGGCCAGGTGAGCGTGTGAGGGACGCCTTAGCTACTGCATGAGCAAGTCATCTGAGGTGTGACCCGGCTTCAAACCTGTGAGTAATTCTACCACACCAGATACTTTAATCCAAGGAGAAAATGTCACATTTATTGACAACAATGCAAGCTTACATGACTATAACTTGGCTCATGAAATGAGATGTAATATGTTAAGTGTTTGAAAAAATACAATGACTGTAAATGAGAAGGAAAATGAGCACAAAACTGCATGAGTGAGTAATGTTAAGTCCAGTTGGAGTACATCACATAGTCATCTCTTGTAAGAAAATATATGCAAATAATTATCTGAAGTTAAGTGTGAGGAAGATATGCAATACTCTGAAAAAAAAAATGAAAATATGGTCTATCATGTCTTCTCAAGAGATTCTGAAAAAGTATTTAAGTCCTTGAAATTTATGCCCATCATAGGCTAAAGTGCAGCAAATACAGTACAGGTATAGACCCTCAAATCAGGGGCCTTTGGAACCATGACCAGACTGTTTTTGAGGGTTTTCCAGTTTCCTGGGTCCTAGGTCATCCATCTGTTACTCAAGACTTGCTAGTAGACGAAGTCATGTTTTTTGTCTACACACACTCACTTAGTTGAACTTTGTTTTACTTCTTGAATAACAAAATAAAAAACAATGTTGTATGCATAATTTAAATTTGAAAAAAAAATATATATAGTTTTATAAGAGTTTGTTTATATCTAGCTACCAGAACCTTCACATGCCAGGAATATAGAGAAAGGAAGTTTGACTCCCCTTAAAACCTATTATGTTCTTCGTGGCCTCTGATTGATCTCTCATCTATGGAGGATGCAACATAATAGAAAACTTTATGCTGTTACTTGGGTAACTACAGTATATAAAAAAGTGTTTTCCATCTATGCGAGACCCTAGAAACTTGTGAAAAAAGGGGGGAACAGTAAACAAAATAAAACAATAGACATACTGTATTTCTGAAGCATTTGTGGGTTATTTATTCATAATACTACATATATTTATGCTTAATCTTTTATTTAAATTACAGAGCAGTACATATTTCACTTGCATTTTCTTACTCATTAACCCCTTCACTATGGGGACTCCACTTTTAACCAGTTGGCTATGATGTAAATAATTAGCGGTAATATAAAATGTAGCTAAAAATAAGGCGCATGGTGTGCAAATGACATATTGTACTTAAAATTTTTATCATTTGATATGTTATTGCAAGTATTAAACATAGAAAAGTATATATACAGTATTCTGATTTGTTATTAGTTTTCTTTAAAATGAAACCACCTGTAGAATAATATACAGTACAAGTTCTGTAAATAGATTTGTTAAAAGATAATGTGTGTTGTCCATTTTCTGTGGTGAAGGCTAAAAAAAAGTAAACCTTTTCAGGTTGACATATACAGCATGCCCTCACAATTCACGGTCCTCGATTATTGGTGGATGACACCTTGGATGTACCCAAGAAAGTTGCTGGCATTTGTGTGGCTGGGACAGGGAGCCATTCGTTCTAGAGAGAGTAATTTTTACGAGGAAAAATTGTCATATGGCAAACCAACCAACTCGACTTTAATAACAAAGCAAAGTTGACTTGAGGGTACACCAACATTTTTTCTACATTTCAATAAATTTTGTTGCCTTATTTCCGATTATTTGTGAGAGGATTTTCCCATTATTATTTATTTGTGTGTGTGTGTGTGTGTGCGCACACACACACATATGCAGTACAGGTAAAAAAAATAATTGTCCTAAGAGCAAACATATAAGGGAATATACATTTCTTTGCACAAAAGTAAAAATATAAGCCCCCTCCCCCCCTCCCTTGTCAGCAAATGATATTCACGGCCATTTTGAGACCCAAGCTCCCGCGAATTTTAAGGGCGTGATGTACTTTGAAGTGCAAGGCACAGATTATCACAAATATTTCTACAATTAAAACAAAGTATTACAATGTAAATAATAATAAAGATAAACAACACACTTCGTTCTCTATCATAATCACTGTGATAAGCAAGTGATACCCTCTAATAGCAGATCCAGCAAGTTATGCCTTCTAATATATGATACAACATCACTTTTACTAGAGTTTCTCATGATAATTCTGGGGTTTGTAAGTATGTTTCCTTCTCTGTTCACCAGATGCCACCGCCATCAGGGCTCTTTAGAAACACTCAAGACTTATGTCACTGTCGTGAGAATGTTAAAAAGAGAAAAACTTTCTTTTTTGTTTTATGCCTTATTTTGTAGTTTACTGTACTGTACTGTAAAGATTACTGTACTGTAAGGCACTTTGATGAATACTGTATAGTATACATCATATTTTATCTAATAAATACTACTAAATCAGTATACAGTGAACCCTCACCCACCGCAGGAGTTAGGTTCCTCGAAAACGGCGTGTTGAGCATATCACTGCACCTCCCCCCCACGCTCCCTCTCTCCCTCTCCCCCATCTGCCCAGCCAGGGTTTTAGGCTTACAGCTTTTATCTTATATAATATCACAGACTAAATTTAGGAGAATATAACTTGCATTGCTGGAATCCTTGCAAGACAGCGAATACCCTGTAATTTGAATATAAACGTCATATATTTTGCACAAGAGATAAAAGTTAATCACCTGTATTACATTAAAGTACAGGTACTCTCCGACTTACGATGGGGTTAGGGACTGACATCCAGGTCGTAAGTCGAAATGGCCTTAAGTTGGAAATGCTTAAATAACACATAAAATCGAAAATGGGTGTCTCTTTTTCTTCTCAGTACCACAAAACACTCACTTTTAAGCTTGCCAGCCATTTTAAAGTGAATTACAGATGAAAATTTTGTCTGTGTACTGACTTTGGGACTCAAAAATACATAATTTGACCAAATTTGGGTACTACTGAGGCAGGTAGTAAGTGCGGGTGGACGTAAGTCGAGTAGGTCTTAAGCCGGGAAGTACCTGTAGTGATTTAAGAGTGCTAGTGTATATGTACGTATATATATATATATATATATATATATATATATATATATATATATATATATATATATATATATATATATATATATATATATATATATATATATATATATACAGTGGGGTATGCTATAACGAATCTAATTGGTTCTAGAACCTTGTTCGTTATAGCATTCGTTCGTTATAGGATTAATCCGTTCCAGGCCCCCAAATACAACCACTTAACACTGAAAAATATAATATAAAATTGTAAAAATTGTAAAAAAGTGCATAAATATGCATCTAAACCCCTGAAATAAAGAATATCATTAATACTTGTAATAAAAAAACAATAAATTAGTAAAAAAAAAAAATTTAAATAATGTTCGTTGTAGGAGTTTCGTTCGTTATAGCATTCTCTCAATTTATAGGTAAAACCGTTCGTTATAAATATTCGTAGTAGGATTTCGTTATAGCATACCCCACTGTGTGTATATGTATATATATATATATATATATATATATATATATATATATATATATATATATATATATATATATATATATATATAATATATATATATATATATATATATATATATATATATATATATATATATATATATATATATATATATATATATTATATATATATATATATATATATATATATATATATATATATATATATATATATATATATATATATATATATATATATATATATTATATATATATATATATATATATATATATATATATATATATATATATATATATATATATATATATATATATATATATATATATATATATTTTTTTTTTTTATAGTGATTTAAAAAGAGGTGATTTAGGGAATTTTAGGAGTGTTTCTGACTTACTGCATTTTGTTTATACTTTGTATGTACTTTTCTGTGAGCTGGAACCAATTACCCAATATCCCATTGAAATAATGGATTCGGTTAACGAACGACTCTGTGGAACAAATTGTGTTCGTTAACCGAGGGACCACTGTGTATGTGTATATATATATATATATATATATATATATATATATATATATATATATATATATATATATATATATATATATATATATATATATATATATATATATATATATATATATATATACAGTGACCCCTCGTTTAACGAACACCTCGGTTAACGTAATTTCGATTAACGAACTGCCTTCCATAAGGATCTTCAATTCGGTTAACGAAAAAAAATTCGCTTAACGAACTTCTTACGAACCGACCTCAACATGTTTTCGCTTGCACTGACAGGGCAACCAGCTTTAGTATCAGTCCGCCAATACATTAATCGGTTCTAGGGCTTAAATTCCTTACTATTTTTGTAAATATCAAGAAGTTTATGCTATTCAATAATTTTAAAAGTTTAATATTCAATTTTTTAGTCATTTTAACAATTATTGAACAAAATTGAAGGTAAAGTGACTAGTTTAATGCGCGGCATCCAGCCTCTTTACACAGCAAACAGGCGTCAGTCTCTCTCTGTTTTCACTGGAGGTAACATCTTGCTTGAGACTCTCTTCAACTAAACGCTTTTTTCTGTGTTTCCAAGCAAATTATTGGTCATTTTGAAATATATTTTATATATTGACAATATATAATGCAGTGCAGCGTTGATTTAAAGAAAATAATCTTGAATAAACCAGAGAGCTAAAATTTTATGGGTGAAATGGCACCATGGGTTGACTTCTCTTCCACCCCAATGCCTTCTCTTCTTCCTTCTCCTCCACCCCCATTCTAAATCCCATCATCATCATCATCATCCAGGAGCCTTCTACATACACACCTCAAAGTAAGTGAACTTTTCTACCATTTTTGTTGAATTTAGGAAATTTTCGGTGAGCTGGAACCAATTATCCAAAAACCCATTGAAACAATGGTTTCGGTTAACGAACGACCTTCTGGAACGGATTGAGTTCGTTAACCGAGGGGCCACTGTATATATATATACACAGCTAGACCCCGACTTACGACTGCTTGGACTTACGACCGTCGCAGATTTTTTATTATTATTATTTTTGTTTTTTTTTTCTCTCAAATGACACACGCATTTTCTATACCGAAACGTTTCCAGTTAATGTAGTCTCCATGTATAATTAGAAAATTATGGGGGCCCCATGTGCATTCAGCTGACTACATTAAAGGTAAGTGCTCAGTCACACTGTATCCATTCCTTATTATTTATTACTTTTACTGTACTGTATTTCATTGTAGATTTTTTATTAATTTTTTTTTTATCTATGTTTTATATATATATACTATATATATATATATATATATATATATATATATATATATATATATATATATATATATATATATATATATATATATATATGTATATATATATATATATATATATATATATATATATATATATATATATATATATATATATATATATATATATATATAAATATATATATATATATATATATATATATATATATATATATATATATACACTTGTAATCAACGACCTCACCAGCAAGGAATCGAACCCTCGACCTACTGGGTGGGACTAGGGAACGCTTACCGGCTAGGCCACAAGGACACTAAAAGCAGTTCTAGACTCTGTTATATTTCACACAAAGCCTGTTCATCGAGCTGATGGCGCCGTGAACCTCATTGGGAAACTGCCCGTGCCTCTTATGTGGTGTCAGTAGCATTTTACCGAATCCAGCTGGTATGAAACGCGAGGTACATATATATACTTCATTTTTAG